CAACTTGAAAGCTCAACAAAACATATGCTGGAAATCTCCACCCTATAAAACTCCTCCTCTAAGAAATTCTACAAATAAGTCTGTCTCCTCTTCAATTACCTGCTTCTTCTTGCTGGAGCAGAGGTAACCATCCTCTTGTGTCTCTCCCAATAAATCCCCTGTGTGAGGTTGTTGTGTGGTGTTACTTTGGGGTATTCCTTGGCTCCCAACTGCCAGGATACCTTTCCCTTCAAAGCCGCAACACTTCCATTGGGGAAACCTTTTCCCTCAGATCTATAACTAAAAGACTCAACAAAATAAACTCTACAGAATATATTTGTTCTCCAGACAGTCACAGCGATTTCATCCAAGAATGAAATCCAAGAATAAAATCCCAGGGGTAGATTTCTCTTGGGTAAATTTGGCCACAAGCAACAGTTCATGTGAAAGTCAATGAAGATAAGGCAAACATGTTTTATGAGAGGAATGCATTACTAGGGGATATAAAAAAAGACAAAGATATAGAATGAGTGAAAATGTTCCAACTTTTCTTACGTTTAAATCCTTCTCCACATCTTCTGACGCCCATTTGATTTCCCTTCATGCTGATCTCTGAAAAAAATATCTGTGGGTGGATGTAGTATTAATAATAAAAACCCAGAGACAGATATTGGGGTTCAAGTTGAAGATCAGAAAAGCAAAGCAGTCAACCACTGGAGAGATGTTTTACCTCTACCAAATCTTCAGACTGAAGGAGCAAGATCCTGTCTCCAAGAATCATCAGACTCCACACTCCACTGAGTTCCTGTCACTTCCCATTTAAATTCTTCTCTTTGCTCAATCATATTACTCCTGTCTCCACCTCCCTAGTGCTGGGATTAAAAGTGTGTGACTTCAAAACACTGGGATTAAAGATGAGAACCACCACTTCCTGGATCTGTTTCTGGATTGACCTAGTATAGCCCAGGGTAGCCTTGAACTTATTTGAAGTCACTCTATCTGCCTTTGTCTCCCAAGTCCTGGACTTAAACCTGTGTGCCACCACTCCCTGGTCTATATTACTGACTACTCTGGTTGCTTTGCCTTCTGATCTTTTGGCAAACTGTATTTATTAAAACACATTTAATATACCATTATATGTGAATGGCCAATGATGTCTCTGATATACAACCTGTTTTCACATATTACTACTGCAGGAAGTATGTCTGCACTGGCCATGTGTTCTAGAATCTCTTTCTGGGCTTCTGCATACTGACTGCCATGTTCACATTCATAATCTCTCTTATTTGTAAATTCTGCAAAAGCATTGAGAAGAGCATTACAGCACTGTGATGATTAGCCAAGAGAATTGTTGAAGGCCAGTGTAGTGATCTTGAATGTTATAGTATTCCAGAGACAGTGCCAGGAGGCTGTCATGTTTGAGGCCAACATGACTGCATAGAAAGACATGGACCCAAGGAAAAATACAGAGTGTCAACCTTTGTTCTTTAAGAATTTGTGATCAGAAAAAGAGTGACTATCATTAGAAGCTCTCAAGGACAACATACAATCACATGAGGTTCAGCAACACTGTTGTTTTTAGGCTTATGGAAAACATTGTCTATGCCACAGTGAACAAAATTGAATATCAGACATGTAGAATTTGAAACAGTTGAATATCCTTAATGCAATTTATTGAAAGTTGATTTCAACTTAAGTAGAAAAGTAATATTTGCTTAAGATATACTTTATCTTAAAAGCCAAAAGATGATGTTATAAAATGATACAAATATATTGCATGAAAATATTTTCAATAAAAATGCTTTAAACAATTTTGAACATGATGGAAAGATTTTTGCAGAATAAATCATGGTAAAAAGCTTTACATAGCTAATTAATTTAGTAATATTAGTGTATCACAGAGCTGAGATCCTCCAATTTGAAATGCCCAAGCTTCCCATCTTCCTTTCTCATCTCCCTAAAGACTGTTGTTATAACCATGCACAAGCATACTCAGTACTAATTATTTATTCTGATGGGATGTGTCAGCCAGTTTATTTTGAAATGTTAGTTGTCTTTTTCATTGTCTTGTACAAACCCTCCATAACAATGCGTTCCAATTAGATGTTTTCATACATGATATTACAGAGCATGATACTCAAGATTTTTATACCTTCTGTAAAGAGTATGCCAGTAACTACTTAGGTACCAAACACTTTTCAACGTTTGTTCCCTTAATCATGCACAAGAAGTCTTTAGCATTGATTGTAATTTCTTCTTTTTGTTGATTTTCTGGAGTAATTCAGAAAACGTGCTTTCAGGATTTGATATTCTGTCTTTTCCTTGGTGTAGTCTGAATGGCACATTTTCAATAGTTGTCATGTGTATTGTATGTGTGTGTGTACATGTGTGTTTATGTTTCTGTCTTGTGTGCGCACACTCATGCATACCACCTTGGGTGTGTGAATATTGGGAGAATTTGTTTCTGATGGGTTGTATACTCCAGGCTAGATAAGCGGCCACATACCTATAATCCAGCCCCTTAGGATTTGAGACAATAGGCTTTCCACAAGCTTGAAGACAGTCTGGTCCACATACCAGGTTCCAGTCCAGGTATGGTGAACAGTAGGACCTTGTCTCACAAATAAAAAAATTAAAAATCACTCAAAATCTAAATAACCAAATTATTCACCCATTTCTCAAGCATATTGATGGCTTTCCTTGTGGCATATCGCGAACTGATCATATGTGACTGTTCTCCCCTCTCAACTCAGCCTCCCACATCCTTGTGTCTTTCTCTAATAGCCCATCTGCTACTTCGGTTTTGACTTTTTTCTTTTCACGTTGTGCTTTCCACTTCTGAGTAAAAGTCTGTGGTAGCTTTTTTCGGTTTAAACATTAATATGAATGGGGATTACATTGTTCCTCTTATGAATACTAAGGTGTTGAGAGATTTCATAATGGAGGAAACGAGAGATGTACTAGTAAGCTTCCAGATAACTGTGAGGACAATGTCTCTGACCCATCAGTAGTGAATGGCCAGTCTGGTATCTCTTTCAGCAGTCAATGTGATCCTGATGCTTGGGAATATTTGTGCTTGTGAAGGTAGGCTTTGTTTTGACTCTTCGACACAGAAACCTCTCGTTAACAAGAATTTTAGGGTTCCCTTTCATACCTCCTGAATGCTTTGCACGCTATTGCTGCAATTTAACCACACAGACTCGCACACCTCACACTGAAGAATTGTGTGTGTTTTAATTTTCTTGCCTGCAGATGAGTCGATAGAAGCATAAGGTGTGAGAAAGCCTTGGGAGCCTGCCTGTCAAGACAAAAGCATTATCCACTTCACAGGGATATGTTTACCCTGAGCCTCAATAAAAGTGACCATAGCCTAGAGACACAGAATTTATATTATCCCACTTTCTACATTCCAACATGAAGTTTAATAGTAACAGAATAAAGAAATCATAAATCAAGACACTTTAAAAAATCCATTGTTGGAAACATGAGGTAGACAGGTTATAGAGCAAAGGGGGAAACCTCTGGGTTGGCCTCAAAGGCCATCTGGCCATAATCTTGTCTTTCTGGTTAGAAAACTTAGAGTTCTGTACATTCCGAAGGAAACTGCTGTCCCATTATCCATTCCAAATGATTTCCATAATGCTCGTGAAGTTGTTCGGTCAGGTACAGAAGATGCCCACAGAAGGCTATTCGGAGGGCTGAGAAGGGCCCGAGGTAACTGACTCTAATCAATCTTTCAGAAGGCATCATCCTTGAGCGTGCATGCCAGGCTGTTCTTCCTGACCTAGGGACCTCTTCTACCCTGTCATTGTGCTTTTGGTTTCTAAGGTACTGAATTCGGTTGCTCCACCATCAAACTAGTGGCACTGTTTGTAATTGGAAGCACCTATTGTGGCGCACTAAGTCCACCAGGAAAATTGCTCTAAAATCCCTGAATACATGTTTCCTTAAAGGTTTATTCTAGGCGGGAAACCCGGGGTTAAAAGGTTACTGCTGAAACCTGTTCTTGTAGCTGTAACCCTGCAGGAAAGGGGTGTTTTCCAGGTTATAAGATGCTCCCTCCCCCCACAACACCCACTCCTCTCCTCCACCCCCGCCACACACACTACAACCCTCTTTTTTTCTTATTGAGAAAAAGAGAAGAAAAAAAAAAAACAAGTTTCCACCTCCTCCCAGCCTCCCATTTCCCTCCCCCTCCTCCCACCCTTCTCCCCCTCTTCCCACCCTTCTCCCCTTCCCCCCACTCCTTTCCCCCTCCCTCTCCAGTCCAAAGAGCAGTCAGGGTTTTCTGCCCTGTGGTAAGTCCTAGGTCCTCCCCCCTCCGTCCATATCTAGGAAGGTGAACATCCAAACTGGCTAGGCTCCCACAAAGCCAGCACATTAAGTAAGATCAAAACCCCGTGCCATTGTCCTTGGCGTCTCATCAGCCCTCATTGTTCGCCATGTTGAGAGAGTCCAGTTTTATCCCATGCTTTTTCAGTCACAGTCCAGCTGGCCTTGGTGAGCTCCCATTAGATCAGCTCAACTGTCTCAGTGGGTGGGTGCACCCCTCGTGGTCCCGACTTCTTTGCTCATGTTCTCCCTCCTTCTGCTCCTCATTGGGACCTTGGGAGCTCAGTCCAGTGCTCCAGTGTGGGTCTCTGTCTCTATCTCCATCCATCACCAGATGAAGGTTCTATGATGATATGCAAGATACTCGTCATTATTGCTCTAGGATAGGGTCATTTCAGGTTGCCTATCCTCAGCTGCCCAAGGAACTAACTGGGGACCTCGGCTTGGGCACCTGGGAGCCCCTCTAGGGTCAGGTCTCTTGCCAACCCTAAAGTGGCTCCCTTAACTAAGAATTGTGGTTCCGTGCTCCCCTGTCCAACATTCCTTTATCCCAATCCTCCTGTTTCCCCAAGGCCCCCCCTCCTTCCCTTCTAGCTCCCAACCTCCCCAAAGTCCCCATCACATCCCCTTCACCGCCTGTATCATCCGCCAATCAGGGAACGCAGTTATGACTTTGCATTAATTGTCCAATGAGAAGAACGGATATTCAGACGGTGCAGCCGTTAGCCGAGTCTGAGTCGCGAGAAGCCATTGAGACCATTTTGATTAAGCTTCCAGCTGATGGTAGGCCCCTTTGGGGCGACCCCTGGGTGCAGCAGAAGCAGGAAATGGTGAGTGCTCCCGGGCCCGGGTTGCGACTCTGCTGCAGCTCTGGTGTGATGTGGCGCCCGCCGCCCTGACGTTTCCCTGGCGCTGTGCAGCTGTGTATGAGCTGAACGCCCCGGCGCCGGCGCCGTCTCCCCACCTGCTCTTGAAGTGTGTGCAGAGCAAGCAGCAGGGAATTTGAGGTGCTGTCCTGTCGCTGTGAAGCTGCTTCATTCTAGTCCCGGCCCTGTCGGGTTGCGTCCGCTGCAGACATAGCAGCTCTGGGGGGTTAGCGCTGCTCACACTCCAGGCTGTCTGAGCTTGGACAGTGAGCGCTGTTTTCTCGTCCTTGCACTCCCGTTAGACATGCTTTAGATTACCCCCGTGATCCCTCTGGGTTCTTTTAAAATTTTTTTCTGTATTAAAATTTTTATGCATATATACAATGAAATATGATCATATCCACCCCGTCCCTCCTTCCAGCAACTCCTATATACTCCCAACATGCCTTTCTTCCAAATTTATTATTGTTGTTGTTGCTACTATTATTTAATAATCCAGCAGTCCGTGCATGGGTGTTTGGAAAGGGAATCCGTCCTGTCAGTGGACTATTTCCTCTAAACATAATTCTCCAGAAAACTGTCTATTGCCATTAACTGCTCAGTAAATGGGGAACCCTTACAGTATCTCCCCATCTATGCCCAATCTTGGACAGGTAACGACAGGTGCTGTGAGCTCATGGGTACAGGTGCTCTGGCATTTCCAGAAGACAGCATTTCCCTGACCACTGGCTTTTACATTTCTTCTGCCTCCTCTTCTGAGGAAGGAATTTCATGATGTTTTATAATACCAGAATAAAAGTCATAAATCAAAGCTTTTTAAAAATACATACATAGATACATTTGAAAGGTGGTTATAGTAAAATAGGGAATCTCTCATATAGGCCTCAAATGCCACCTGTTGATATGCTTAGTTTGGGGATTGGTAGAAACTAAGTTAATAAATTCCAAAAGAATTTTATCTGTTAGTCACAGGTTGTTAGTTCTGACATAGAGATGGACAAGGAATGGCTATTTATGGGCGCTAAAGCTATCCCAAGAGATAGTACAGGTTCTGGTCTCCACATCATTTTGGTTCTGATCAATCAGTCCTTGTAGACAGCTTCTGATCAGGGGTTCTCAGTCACACCCTAAATGGTGCTTTACCCAACTGCTGTGTTTTAAATGTCTTTGTGTTTGTCTCTCCATGTGTCTAGATTTGAAATTCAGCTTCATTATGTCTTTACTATTTATCTTATTTTGTCCAGTGGATTTCCAGCATTATTAATTTTTAATCTTCATCTAGATATGCTTTCTTTGGCTTAGTTCTATCTTTTAATGATCCTTTCCCCGGTTTTTGATTCATTTTTTAAAAAATTCTAGTATTCTACTCATCCCCCTCTATGTTTTCCCCTCACAATCTGAGTATCCTTTGACTTTCTTTTTGATATCATTGACACGTTTATTCATGTTGGTGGGGTTTTTTGTCCATTTTAGTCTCTGCTGTTTCAAGGTATTCTGGGTAATTTGGGTATCCTTGTTGGTATACTCTTTGAAGTCATTGATCACTTCTACTAGTAACTTTGAAATCTTTTTGTTTGTTTGTTTGCATTTTACCTATTTCAGTATCTTAGAATTCAGTCTCTGCTGAGTCATTCTGATCGTTTGTAGCAGCAGCTGAGCAGACAGCAAACAAGGCAGGAAGAACCACACAGGCTGATGGGCACAAAGGGAGAGGCTGAAACTGAAGAGGCTAGAAGGCTTTCACAAACCACAGGAGAAAAAAATAACTTAAAGATGTCATTAGTGGAAGAGGTTCAGAGAGGAAGCAAGTGTTTAGGTCCTTGAGTTGAGGAATTCCAGCTTCCAGAGCACACAGTAGAACTTGTAAAAATGCACAGGAACTTGATTCCTCTATACCAACCCACGAGGGATAGAAGGAGGCCAAAGACAAGTGTTTAAAGACCTTCTTCATGCCTGTTTATTATTTCTATTCGGAGTAAAAAGACCCCACCCCATAGAACTGACTGGAAACACAGTGCTGTATTCTCTTGGTCTCTGTATCTGCAGGGTCTTTTATACTTCCACAAATATTTTAGTATGACTGTCTGTAGTTCTGTGAAGCATATCATTGAAACATTTGTTAGTATTACATTGACTGTACAGACTGCTTTCAGCAAAATTATTTACATCTACAGTGTTGTTTCTCTGACATCATAGGCATAATAATTCAACTACTTTATTATTGGATAATTTTCCTTGTAGATGTCTTTTCCCAGCTTGGTTAGGCTTATCTCCAGGAAGTTTCTGAATATGGTACTTTTAATATACATCCTTAACTCCCCAATCTGAATTCTTTCTCAGTCAAGAGCAATTAGGAGCTTTAGTACTTTTCTTCCTTCCTTCCTTCCTTCCTTCCTTCCTTTCTTCTTCTTTTAAAGACTTTTATGTGTATGGGTGTTTTGCACGCATGTATGTTTGTACACCGCACTAAAGCATTGCTTGAAGAAGTCAGAAGAGGGCGTCAGATTTCCTGGAATTGGAGTTATAGTTGATTGTGAGCCCCTATATAGCTGCTGGAAATCAAACCTTGGTTCTCTGGGGGGAGCAATAAGTGCTCTTAATTTTGAACCATCTCACCCACCCAAATACAAACTTTTGTGGGAGAAACACATTCTTTGGTAAGAATTATATTTCCATTTTGGCAGTTTTTTCATCATTCTGTATTTTTGTGGGCTTCTTTACAGCTTTTGTTTATGCTGCCTTAAGTAGTATCTTTAATATATTTATCAATTTTTCAGACAAATTATTTTTTCTTATTTTTCAAAAAAAGAAAACAAGCTGTCTTTTTTTTATTATATATGCCAATCCAAGTTCCCACTCCCTTCCCTTCTCCCATTCCCTCTACACACCACACACCCTCCCATCCACTCCTCAGAGAGGTAACACACATTGCTTTGGGGAAGGTCCAAGGCCTTCCCTACTATATCTAGGCTGAGCAAGATATCCATCCAAAGAGAATAGGTTCCCAAAAAGCCAGTAAAAGCAGTATGTATAATTCCTGGTGCCACTGCCAGTGGCCCCACAGTCTGCCCCAGGCATACAACTGTCACCCACATTCATAGGGACTAGTTTGGTTCTATGCTGGTTCCTTCCTAGTCCAGCTGGAGTTGATGAGCTCCCATTAGCTCAGGTAAACTGTTTCAGTGGGTGTCCCCATCATGGTCTTGACCTCTTTGCTCATATTCTCATTCCTTCCACTCTTCATCTGGACTTTGGGAGCTCAGCCCAGTGCTCTGCTGCCAGTCTCTGCCTCAGTTTCCATCAGTTGCTGGGTGAAGTTTCTATGGTGATATTTAAGATATCCATCATTCAGGGCAAGGCCAATTCAGGCACCCTCTCATCTATTGCTTAGGATCTTAGCTGGGGTCATCTTTGTAGATTCCTGGGAATTTCTCTACAGTCATGTTTACTGGTAATCCCATAATGGCTCCCTCAATTAAGATATCACTTTCCTTGCTCTCATCTCTGTCCTTCCTCTATCTCAACTATCCCAGTCCCTCAAGATCTCCTCCGCATTTCTCCCATCCTTTTCCCCTCCCACCCTCTCTTTTCCCCCCATCCCCATGCTCCCAATTTTGTTAGGTTAACTTGTCATTTCCCCTTTTCAGGTGGATCTATGTATGTTTTTCTTAGGGTTCACCTTGTTACTTAGCTTCTCTAGGATCATGAGCTATAGGCTCAATATCCTTTTCTTTATATTCAGTATCCACTTATGAGTGAGTACATACCATAATTATTTTTTTGGGTCTGGATTACCTCACTCAGGAAGGTGATTTCTAGTTACATCCATTTACATGCAATTTTCAAGATGTCATTGTTTTTGACGACTGAGTAGTATTCTAATGTATAAATGTGTCACATTTTCTTTATCCATTCTTTAGTTGAGGGGCATCTAGGTTGTTTCCAGTTTCTGGCTATTACAAATAATGCTGCTATGAACATAGTTAAACAAATGTCTTTGTAGTATGATTGAGCATCTTCCGGGTATATGTCCAAGAATAATATTGCTGGATCCTGAGGTAGGTTGATTCCCAATTTTCTGAGAAACCACTGTACTGATTTCCAAAATGGTTGTAAAAGTTTGTTCCCACCAGTAATGGATGAGTGTTCCCCTTACTCCATATCCTCTGCAGCATAAGATATCATTGGTGGTTTTGATTTTAGCCTTTCTGGTATCTCAGAGTTGTTTGGATTTGTATTTCCCTGATGACTAAGGATGCTGAACATTTCCTTAAGTATCTTTTGGTCATTTGAAATTCTTCTGTTGAGAATTCTTTGTTTAGTTCTGTACCTCATTTTTAATTGGGTTATTTAGAACTTTGATGTCCAATTTCTTGAGTTCTTTATAAATTTTGGAGTTCAATCCTCTGTCTGATGTGGGATTGGTGAAGATCTTCTTCCATCCAGTAGGCTACCTGTTTGTCTTATTGACTGTGTTCTTTGCTTTACAGAAACTTCTCAGTTTCAGGAGGTCCTTTTTCTTTATTGTTAATCCCAGTGTCTGTACTACTGGTATCATATTTAGAAGGTGGTCTCTTGTGCCCATGCATTAAAACTTACTTCCCACTTATCTTTTATCAGGTTCAGTGTGGTCAGATTTATATTGAGCTCTTTAATTTATTTGGACCTGAGTTTTTACATGGGGATAGATATGAATCTATTTTCATTCTTCTATGTATTGACATTCAGTTATGCCAGCACCATTTGTTGAAGATGCTTTCTTTTTTTCTATTGTATAATTTTAGCTTCTTTGTTCATAAGTGTGTGGTTTAATATCCGGGTCTTCAATTCCATTCCATTGGTCAGCCTCTCCATTTTTATACCAATACCAAGCTGTTTTCATTACTGTAGCTCTGTAATAGAGTTTGATGTCAGGGATGCTGATGTCTCCAGAAGTTCCTTTATTGTACAGGATTGTTTTGTTT